ACACACCCACACCCATATCCATACCCGACATCCACACCCACACCCACGATACAAGAACGAGTCTTTTGTGTACCACAAAAGAGCTTGGTTAGACGAATATGTATGCTTGAACTCATCCAAAATAGCAAGACTGACCAAATTGCCACTATACTCTTCTTCACACACAACTATGAATTCATTTTTGTCGGTGTCACTCGACGACATTTGAAGTAAAATGTCAATAAGCAAATGTGACAACATGAATTGACCATTGAGCCCTGTCGACGATTGATCCATCATGAAACTCATATTAAAGATACTAATTGAAAGAGGTTCGTCCACTTCTCGGTGACGTCGTCTTTTTCGATCATGATAATCTGCTAGCAACCGTTTTCTAACGACGTCGAACTCGACGTCAACTGCCTTGATTTTGTGACTGAATATGGTAGTCGTCGACGTATCTTCGTCGCTCTCAATCCTGTACACATAAATGGACGACACTTGACGCAAATCATGAACACGAGAAATCATTTCTTGACTCGATTGACTATTGACAATGAGCACAATTCGGTCGTTATTAGTGACATTCTCTATGTACTTTTGGCACTCTTCAGCGTTATTGAATATCCTCAAATGGTTGATGATCGCGCGAAGTTGCTGCTGAGTGATTATATTTTCATCGGATGATTCGTTCTCCATCGTATCAAGCCAAACTAGATGGAATGTCTCGAGATTGTCGTTCACGTATGTCTCACACGTAGCCATCTGCACTAAAAAACGACATTTTTATACCTTCGAAACAGACATTCAATCAAACAAATGGCTATTTTCGTCCTCCTCGGTCTTAAATATAACCGATTTCGCTTCATCGAACAAAATGACGGTGTTCCATCGTTTTCAATTTAATGTGAGAACGGATACATACTTTTCGTTTACATTCTGAATACAGCGAAATGCTTCACACAGATCTGTACGACTAAAGCAAAATTCCAGACTTTAAAGCGTACGTCTCAACACAACATATTAGCATCATATGCACTATTCTACACAAGAACAGTATTTTGATTCTCTTATTGAGAAAAAAAATTGTGTGTACACATCTGGTTCTTAACGTTCTTCCTTTTTTTGTATGCCACTCAAACTGCAGAAAAAGAGAATAGAAGCGCATACACTAAAAAAATTAAGTATGCCAATAAACACTTAAAGAGTTTATGAAAGTGCAACATATAATAAACCCTTTTTACAATATAGTGAATTTTAATAAACCCTTTCATATACCCTTAGAAAGGGTGTGAGTGTCGATGCGGGTGTGGGTGCGAGTGTGGGTGTGGGTGTATTCAACAGTATACCCACAGTCACACCCACACTTGTTATTTCGAAAATCAACTTTTGTCGATATTACGAATCAAATAATCAAGAATGAGTACGTATTTTAAAATTCTGAGTGATATTCGAAATCAGCATAACAAATCGGATCAAATGACATAGAATCCATTAAAGAATATTTGTCATCGAAATTGGATCCCTCCTTTCGCTCTGGTTTAGTGGAGATGATTTCGCTGAGTGTCCCTCGGGTCAATTTTCGATGACAAATATTTTTTAATTGAATCTATGTCATCTGATCCGACTTGCTAGTCTGCTTTCGAATATTACATGTATTGTATTTGAAAACGAAATCTTGATAGTGAAAATTTTCAAGTACGTACTCATTCTTTATTATTTTATTTCTAATATCGAAAAAGTTGATTTTTGAAATAATGGATCCTTATTTTTTTTTACAGATACATAACTTTTTTCTCGTTGGTATGTTGACTGCAACCCAATGAAAATGACTTTTTCATCTCTCATACAATAGTTCTCGATAGGTTCGTAAGTGCACAGAAAGCCGTTTCATGATTCTACTCATATTTCGAGAGAACACAGCTCATTTCAGACCACAAAACGGCCGATCGAGCTATTTTGCACACTGTTACACGGAGAATAAAAAAACCTATTACCTGTTTCAGAATAAAAGAAGGATAAGTATTTTGAAATAATTTTTGATAGAAACTAGATAGAGATCTGCGGTTTTCACCCATTAAAAGAGGCAATAAAACTGCATCAAATAAAGAAATATCCGATTTTTTTTCTGGCAACTCTTCTCGGGGTCACGCACCAAGTTTCTTAAAATCATAACATTGTGTAATGTAAAAGTTTTGGAATTTTAGTTTTCAGTAGTGCACCGAAATCATTAACTAAACCTCAATAATCTATGTAAGTCTGATGTGAAAAGCTTTAGCAAATCACGAGTGAGTAACAGTTTACTAAGTGTTTTCGGCAGATTTTTCACGAAAATTTGACTTTTTTATGGTTTTTTTGACGAAAAATTCATCTTCTAACTCTATTAAAATTCCTCAGTTTTTTAAAACCTTGGCTGTTGACCCTGAGAAACCTTGTCAGATAAATTTGGTATTGCTAATTCGATGCAGTTTCATCGCCTCTTTTAAACAGTGAAAATCGCAGATCTCTATCTAGTTTCTATCAAAACTTATTCCGAAAATACTCAGCCTTCTTTTATTTTGGAACGGATATAGTTTTGGAATTTTAAAACGACAATAAACACGAAGATTTCGCATAATATTCAAAGCTTCACTTATTTTTGCATATTTTCAAAAAACGTATTCTTTTGAATTCTTTTCCTGTGTAATTCGACAGGTTCGATTCATTCAGAAAAAAATAAAAGCAATTTTCTGCTTCAACTATGAATTTCCCACGCTTTAATGATATTTCAAAAATTGAGCGAAGAATGAATAAATGAAGAAGTGGAAATACAACATTCTTTGATTGAATAACGAGCCAAGATTCTCTGATTACAAAGCACTGCTGAAGAGCAACTCCTAAATCTGAAAATCATACGATAGTAATGGGAGAAAAAAATGACACATTCGAACACTATTTAAGTTTTACATGATAATTAACGAAGTTCTGAGACTTTTTTTCTGATAATCAGAAACCCTTAGAAATATCTGAGCAATGTTCAGAAACCATACTCGATTTCTTGCAAACGTTTTGGCGATTTTCGATATTAGAAAACATAAATAAGGTTTCGACAAAAAAAATTCCCGACAACTCTAAGATATTCGAGGATGCGTATAGGGTTTCCGTGAAGGCTTTCAAGTCAGAAGCAGTCTTCGAGGAAACTTTCCGATTCTCCGGACTAGACCAAGGTTTCTGAGAATATGGTCGAAGATTTCTGAAAGCTTGGAAACCTAGAGGGTATTTTCGGAAAGTTGACATGGGTCCAGGAATCTTGTAGAATACGCTCATAGGTTTCCGAAAGAGTTTGAGTTTCTGAGAAAACGAATTTATTTTAGAGTGTAGATACCTCTAGTCTGAGTAAACTTGAATATTGGTATATAGAGTCCTAAGATTGAAATACCATTTATGTTCTTATTACGGCATCTCTATTTCTCCAGTAAATGCTGCCGCATATTACTATATTGGCAACAGGTGGGACGATTGCCGGTACAGCAACTAGCGCGGTGAATACAGTAAGTCATGATGCAGGTGTACTCGGTGTAGACCAATTATTGACAGCTGTACCAGCGCTTAAGAATATCGCCAAAATTCAAGCCGAACAGATAGCGAACATCGATAGCAAGGACATGACAACAGACTTATGGATAGAGCTTGCACAACGCATTAATACATTGCTTAATAGTAATACTGTCGACGGTATCGTTATCACACACGGCACGGATACACTGGAAGAAACAGCTTTTTTTCTACATTTAACAGTAAAGAGCGTGAAACCCGTTGTAATTACCGCCGCAATGCGACCAACAACTGCGCTTGCAGCCGATGGTCCTCTGAATTTGTACGAAGCTGTGATGGTTGCAGGGAGCAGAAGATCATTCGGTCAAGGAGTATTGGTAGTGATGAATGATGAGATTCATAGTGCACGCTACGTAACGAAAACTGACACTGCTGCCGTTCAAACGTTTCGTTCTCCCACTATGGGTAAGCTTGGATGGATACAGGATGGCGATGTGCAGTATCTGCATAGTGTTGCACGCATTCATACTATACAGAGCCGATTTAATATTTCGTCCTTCCTATCTTCAACCCTGCCTTGGGTGGAAATCGTTCTGAGTTATACAGAACCGTCGGCATTCATCATTGAGACACTCGTCAATATGGGGGTCAAGGGTATTGTGATCGCAGGTACTGGCAATGGATCGATCCACAAGGTACTGCAACAGGCAGCAGCAGAGGCAGTGCAGAAAGGTGTAGCTGTTGTGCGCTCGTCTCGAGTGCCTTTCGGCAGCGTTATGCATAATGGCGCTGTAAACGATGACGAGCTCGGTTTTATCACTTCTGATTTTCTCCATCCGTGGAAGGCACGTGTGCTTTTGATGTTGATACTGGCAGAAGGTATAACTAGTCACGCCGAACGTCAGGCAATTTTAAACAATTACTAAAGTAACTAAATGGAAAACAAGAGTGCGAATACTTGCAAAGATCTACTCTTCTCGTGATTTACTGAACATTCGCTCATCTCTTTTTCTGTCTCTTCATTCGATAATTAAACTAATGCTATGATAATGACACAGATTTTCGAGTGAGTCTGGGATGTGGGTCTGGGTCTGGGTGTGGGCGTTACTTGTAATTATATCTATACCCACACTCACACCCAGAAATTAGATCTTCTCTAGAGAAACAATTTCAACAGTTATCAACCACCCTTCTTTTCATTCCAGAACGGATTGCTTTCGACGAATAGAATCGTCAATTTGAATATCTATACTCATGGTTTTTATATGAGAGTATTTTATACTAATGAGTAGAAGAGATGAATATTATGAAAAGAATAATGACAATTTATTTATTATAATATAGAATATAAATTATCAAATGATAAATTAATCTGAAATAAGAGATTTGTAATTACTTTTCATTTTGAATTAAACTATCTAATTAATTAAATAATATTTATTATCAATGAAGTCTTAGACTACCTCAATTAAACATTCAATATCAATTGAAAAAAGATTAGTTAAATGAAATATTGAACATTGTTACATTAAGTTGATTAGTATTTTCAGAATAAGCTTCAATTAATTCTTTAAAAACCTACAAATATGAACGAATATTAAATTTGAAAATTTTTGATCAAATATTCTTACAATAAAATTTGCTTGACAAACATTGTTTTAATTTTATAGTACTTTATCTACTGGAAATCCTTTATCCTAATCAAATGAAAAAGGTGATATTACGTGTTCGTCTCTATACAAAATCTATACCTTATTTATCTTTTATTTTTATTTGAAAACAATATTACTTATCAACTGCAATAAATATTGATGAACTTGAATATATATAAAGTACATTATTTGGTACATGATAAACTTTATTAGTGTCTATTTTTGCTATTCGAGTATAATGTCTCGGATCAATTGGATCAACATTTAAAATAACTAAGATTAATGTTGTATTATTATAAACTTGAACAATTGAACAAAGAACTATACATCACCGAACATTGTGCATTTGAGTAGACCAATTTATATTTAGTAATACACTGAAGTCATATTCACATTTCCATGTTCAATTTATACTAATAAATTTAACAACATCTCTAATCTAAAATTTGTTTTTACTTATTGAAAAAAAGTCTTGGCACAAAGTGTTCACTCATTTTTCGGCTACCTAAAGAAATTTGGTTAAGGTTAGTTAGAATTAGACTTGTTGGTTTTTTCCAAATATATGTTCAGAATTTCTTCTTGACATAAGATTGAGCAGCTATGCCTATTCAAAGTCAAAATACAAAACAGTTTTTAATAGCTTCCAAAGGAATATTTCCAATAGTTCGATCTTTGTTTTGCTTGGAATTATTGCTCTTCAATTGATCATGATGATTGGTGAAAAATTCTTTTTTGGTTTCATTAGTCAGTCTTCGTTTATTCAGCTGTATGCGTTTTACTCAAATCTTATTCTATGATCATAGCATTGCTGAGAACATGAATGATTGAATTTCAAGGGTATGAATATGAAATTTTTCTTCACCCACATCCTACATACAAGGACCGGTTTTTTTAAATATTTTCTAATGTATGGAGAGAGGATGAACGATACATGGACGCACTCTTGTAGCATGACGAAAAAACACGCAAACAATCAATAGATGAGTCTTCGATCCAAATATCCGATTATCGGGAGAAAAATTCTCATGGAAACGAAAAGAACACAATGACATTCAGACTGGATTTTTTTCTAGCGTGACGAAGAATGGAATCGAATTGCCATAATCCAGATTTCGATTTTGCTGTCGATCTTATCAGACGACTTGACCGTGTGAGTATGTTTGATTTGATTAAGAAAATCCTCACAATCCTTAATAATTCTGACAAACAATGCAGGACGTTTTGAGACCACTTTGGTCCAATTGAAAACCAAAGCTAGTTTGATACGAAACTTCCAGCAATTGTAATGTCAAAATGTAGACTGAGCATCAATATGCCTATGCATGTTTCTATTTTTGTTAACTACGAAATAGTGACTGAAAAATAGTAAGAGACAAAAGTGCAGAATGTACGGAAATCTACTAAGAATTTTTACATCAACATAATCGGCTGTTTTATACTCGAGAATTCCAGTATTCAACTTTAATCATGCTGCTTGACCGTTAGTCAGACAAGCCGTACTACTCTTTTCTTCTTTCGAATCTACCTAAAAGTTACTACATTGATTTTTTGACACGTAAAAGTATATTAAAACAATTGTTCCGACGCTTAGATTTGCTCGATGCCAATTACTGTGAACGGTACTAATTTTGGATACTGTCCAGTTAACCAAAAAAAATAGAACATTTCGTCGCCAATTAAGATTGGACATTGTGGTGTAATTTGTTTCTTGTTTCCGAGCTTCAAGTCGATGCGTTTAATCACTTTTCCGGTATCCATGTTAACGGCAGTGATGAAATACAAAAAACTTGACTTCTGAAAATATGGTGAACCAGACACAATGTAGAGAACTCGCCGTTTCGAATTCATTGTTGTACAATAGGAGATCAATTGGAATTTTTTCATTTCACTTGATGCTGCCAGTTCGCTTGCCCACACCGTTTTTCCCGAACTGTTGATGGCGAATGCCAGGGGCATGCTGGACATATAAACTGTGCCTTTCTCATCGATAGTAGGCGGTGTTATATCATCATTGTCAGCAATCAAAGGAAGTGCAAACCAGTTCCAGCGCAATTTAATTTCT